CAAAGCAGTTAAAGTGTCTGGCAGCAGAGCAGCTAGTGAACAGGGACATTTTTCTAGGTTATTCTGCCTCACCCATACACAGCATCCACAAAGCATGAGGCAGCAACAGGATCAAGGGCTTAGCAAAGGCCACCCTTACCTCCCTCCTAATTCAAGATTTCATTTACAACAGTAGCTGGAGATCTCATCCAACAGTGCTAGAAACCCACTTTCCTGCCTCTCCAGCAAGTAATCCGTGTAGAAGGCACACTCAGTTTAGCAGCCAAGGCAACGCTCGGCTTGATAACTACCTTGCTGGCAAACAGAGTAGAAATTTCCTTATGGCACATTATACTATTTTTTCCATAAGCTTTTTAAAGACATACAGAAACTTACACTGAAAATACTAAGGATGTGAGGTCATTCAAAAAACTTCAAATAGTATTGTCAGCTCCACCTCTCAAGATTTCTTTAATCCTTGTTGCATATTCTTAATTTAAGCAGATTCGTGAAACAGTGCACTGCACAGATGATGCAACAGACAAATAAGGCTATTAGTAGTCTTTTCTGTGACCTGATGGGTCCAGTCCCACACAAAGTCCCAAGAGCAGTAACACAGCAATCACTTCCAATTTACACATAGTAATAGATAATCATGTCATAAATCAAGATCGGAAGTCTGTCAAGGACCTGTATGTTAACTTGGCCTTTGCCCAGAATGGGTACTTAGAGAGCTCCAGTGACATTCAAATCAGAACACACGGGCATTTTCCAATGGAGAGTAAACAACAGTGATACATACTGTCTTGATTATGACAGATCACAACGAATATATTCACACCCATCAATGAGGGTGGGCCCATGAGCATGAAAGAAATGTACTCCATAAATCACATCACCTTGCCATTGGCACATTTTGCTAGTCAGCAGATGCAGTATTTATGAACATTTATCCATGTGTTTGCACGAGAAGTAAGTTACAGAAATAATGTCAGCAAATACATTATTTTACACCAGAAACATGACATTTAGAAAAATGTAGATTCATATTCTGAAAAAGTGTTTGAGTGCTGTGGGCAGAAGGTAGGGGGGAAGGCATCTCACCATTACAGGGTCTCATACTGTGTGAATCTACTCAGACCCACACAAACTGGCTTTAAGGGCAGTTAAATGCCTGGTGTCTTAAGAATGCTTTTGAGACTCCTACTTAATATCTTTTTCTGTCATGCTGCTAAAATAGATTCTTTTAAAAATTTATTGAAAAACACACATCCTCTTTGTCTTTAAGATTAGATTTTGGTATTTGCTGATCTAATAATAATTAAAGGCCTATAAATGAAGTTAATGAGTCTTTGACAAAACTAGACTCTCAGATTTGAGAGTACAAGATCAGAAACTACTAAAACCAAAATAAGCTACTGAAGAAAGGAAATCAAAATTTCACATTTTCCATGCATAGTATCAGTGCTTATTTATGATTAATTTATTTGAAAGGAATAAGTATAGCTACTTAATACAAAGGCACCAGTTCTAAACTGGCGCCAGTTTGTCCTTGAAATATGGAAATGTTTCAATCTCAATGCTGTAATTACAATCTGATTAAGTCTGAGTATATGCAGGTACACTTCATTTGGCTGCAAGAGGTATTTAGTTCAACAAAAATGCCTACCATTCAATATTTGAAGCAAAATCAAATATTTTGTCTACCCCTGTTATACCAACAGATCTGACCATTCCATTAATTAGGATCCCCTTTCCTCTATTTCTTTATCATATTCTGTACCATATTTCCCTCACAGTGAACAGAGCTTAGTAGATACAGTACCTTCAGTGAAATTGCAAAATAACAACAGAAGAGAAACCCCCCCCAAATCAGGTTAATTAATCTTTCCACAATACAGTCAGGTTATCACAGAGCATCTGCTACAATTTACTGCTCCAAACAAAGCTGAAGTGATATTGTGCATTCCTCTGGTCAAATAAAATCTTAGATTTACGGGCTCAATTATTTAAAAATTCAGCAAGGTGGAGTAATAAAACGGAAAAAGCTCAAAGGTTGGTATCTATGCTTAATACTACATAAAGCAGAGCAGTACCACCCAGAGAGGTATTAGAAATTGGAGAGTCACACTCTCCTCCAAGGCCTACAGGAAAAGGGCAATAGGCAAGCTTTACTACCTGCAACAAGTTAAGTTTCTGTTTATAAATAGTGATTGAACACCGGAACCACTTTCAGATAGCCTACGGAATCCCTGTCCTGAGAGATTTTTTTATGCTTGACTGAACAAAACCTTGACAGACCAACACAGACTTTGCTCATGGTATTTGGATTGATGCTAGCATAATTATGCGATGAGTTTCAGTAAAACACTGTCATCAGGGAATTACGTACTACAGCCCAGAGATAAACTGGGATGTAGTACATAACATACTGAGATAAACCATTATAACAATGGGCCACTAGGATATAAAAGTAACATTACAATTGATCCTACTTTATTTAATTTTAAGATATATTACCACATTCTTTTTGGTTCTGATTTAAGAGGTAAGTTTTATTAATATCGTGCATGCTTTAGGTTTTGGATACACACATCAATAGTCCCATCTTTACTGGACACAGGGTATGTAAACCCTGACCACAACATTAATTCCTACCATTTTTCCCACCCATTTATGAGAAAAAAATGTCATGCTTTTAAGTAAGCCTCTCAGTGCCCTCTGGATTTTTCTTTTTTGGTCCAAACTTTTCTATTCTTTACAAGGAATTTCCATTGCATAAAACCCCTATGCTTCTAGTTTTTCTAATATTCTATTAAAGAAGCAGTATCTTTACTTCCACTAAAAAGACATTTTTCAACATATCTCACATAAAGCTCCCAAGGACTCCTCAGGCAGGCAGAAAATCAGTCTTACTCATGAAAGTTTTTATACAAATGGCACTTCTCAAACAGAAATGTTTATCCACAGAACTCTCCAAATGACGCTATCAACATTAGCATAGAAATTCGAAGATTCAAAGCAATTTTATGAAGATTATCAACCATTCTGGAAGTTAGTACAAGATGCCTACGACTACCAAAACCAGATGGGATGATATCCTTCCTCTTCAAGTACCAAAAGCATTTATAATGGTTTCAGATCCAGTTCCTTCCTTGTTTACAGATATATGCTAAACAGTTGTACAGTTTCACATCATCAGGAAGCAAACTTTATGTACTCTTCTATAGTGCACTGGTGGAAGTGCCAGGACAGAGCTGTAAGTTTCTTTTATAACTATTTTTTTCTTACATTTCCTTGCATTTTTTTTTAGTTCCCATACAAGGCGACCGACTGAACTGTATCTAACATTCAACAAAACTGAGCTGGAAAGTCACTGTTTCATATCTAAAGTTAATATTCAGCCATGCCTGCACTGAAAAGTTGTCATATTAGCATCTGATGAACAAATAAAACATAGTAACTAACTGAGGAGCGCATGGTCACGCATTTATGTCATGCAGTTGCAGAAGATCAGCTATGAAGCATGATGGATGCAATGCGTTTTCCGATCAGTAAATGCCCCACTACATTCATCCAGCGAATGACCCTCCTCTACAGTACATCCCACACAGCGTGGGAAGTTAGATTTAGGTTCACTGCAGTCAGAAGTTCATATTCTTGGGCAGTGTCAAAATTATTAGGATAAAGGTTACTAATAATTGTCTCTGGGCATAGAATAGCTTCTCTTTTCAAGGTCCAGTAAATATTTTTTAATGTACCTAAGAGTCCATTGAAAGCTCAAAAAGCTACAAAGCCTCACTCCTGAGCTTTCATCAATACGAAAACTTGTTAGATTCTCATATAGACAAGGCCTATAAGTAACAGTGTACAAACACTAACAGGGTAATCACAGCACACCATGGAGGGAACACAAGGGAAGAGCATACAAAACTTAAGCCTGATATCATTAATCCTCTTTAAGATATGTGATCTTTTTTTCATCAAAAGTAGGTTTATGACCGACAATATGGTCAGACAAGCGCCCGCATCCAGTCAGGGCCAAAAGTTATTTATCTTCCTTACTTGACTCATACTTATCTCCACCTCATACTATTTACCCCAGTGTGTCATCTGTCCGCAAAACATGGCTTAGGATCTATAATGTTTTGATGAGCACAGCTATCTGAAAAAACCCAAAAATTCTTCCGTCCTTTGAAGAGATCATTCTCCAAAGGTTTGCCTTCAACGGTCGCCTTTCGTTTTCTTTCATTTTGCTTTAACCCCACCTTACTGTAACCAAGCCAGCTCACCTATTTCAGGGCACCTGCTAAAGTGCAGAACATAGAGGTTGAACTTGCAACGAGAGATTATTCCAAAGAAGGCGCTTCCTTTCTTGAGACCAAAATCCCACAGAATAGAAGGTCCAGACAAGCTTTCAGTTTTGCTACTCTCCAGCAATGGGTATAGAAGCTGACACATCAATCTAATAGAATATTGAAGGCTAAATTGTTTGCCCCAGAAGCTATGACCAAACCTCAAACAAAAAATATCAATCAGTGATTTGCATTATGTCTGCACTGAGCCCAGAACAGGTTTAGCTAAGAAATCCTGTTTCATCATCAATTTTTCAAAATAACATGAATACTTTGCTCAGAATAAAGTTACCGGTTACTTCAGGAAGAAGACAACTCTAGTACTAGTGATAGAGAGAATTAAAAAACAAAGGCAGATATATACGCACAAGGATATAGTGTATCCCGCATCTTAAGAGGAGCATCCTTTAATGGTCCAGGTATTCCCCAAAAGCCTAACAGTGTTAGATACCCTGAAACATACCAAGGCCAGGTCATATCACACATTTCCTCAAGTGAGGTGGAAGACAGCAAACTATATACCATATTAACATGGAACATTAAAAAAAACACCTTTAATTTTCTAAGGGAATAGGCATTATTTTCTCCTTTTCCTAACTCCCTAAATATCAATAGTTTATGAGAATTGTTGCAGAGAAAACAAAGTGGTTGTGACACAAAACTTACCGAGCACAGTATTCACTACAGCAGAAGCCAGTAGGAATGCCTAGAAAGAAAAAGCATATGAACGTGTTTTAGCATGCTCTCAAACTCAACAATCTACTGTTCAGGAATCTCCTGATTTAGAACAACTGAGTCTTCTAGCTGCTGGATATTCTGTGTCAGTCAGTTCTGTAGTTATAGACAGCTACACTATCTGAAAGTAGCCTTTTTTTTTATTTTTAACCCTGCCATCTAATAATAAGGAGAATAACTGAAATGAGTGAAGAAGAAAACACTTTCCTCCTGTTGATTTCCCATTACACTTGTGGTTTTGTATAGATCAGCCTTGTACTGTAAGGCCAACACAAAAAAAAAAGTGAGAGAAATGCTGGAAATACTGTGTCTTATTGAAAATACAGAGAAACACAGTCCATTTTACTCAATGACCCTGCATATACATATACCAGAAATATTTATATTCGAGAGGAAAGCATAGCATGATTGTATAATAATGTAGTATTTTCAATCTTCTAACCTTTTTCTTCACTGGCATCACTCTTTTGGTACACTACTTAGCACTGGTCTGTCATTTTGACAGAAGAATTAATTCAGATTTACTTTTTTTATTTTACTGAGTAGAGGAAAATTGAACAAAGATCTATTGGCCACAGCACACCCTCTTCTTCTCTAGGTAAAACACTAGGAATAAAGGCCAAACTATCACTGGAGTAAGGACAAGTCTCCTAAACCAAATGAGAGGGATATATTCAGTCAGTCACCCTGAAAACAAAGTTCTCTTAAGTCACCGTGGCTACTTCTTCGGTGACCACTCTGACTGGAATTACTACCTGTAGTTACTAAATCTACATTTGAGAAAAAGTCTCACTAAGACTTAGAAAAGCTTGGATGGATTAGAAACCCATCTCAGGCTTTAACTTTCTATCAAATTTGTAAAGTAAACTTATATAAGCTATCCAAAAGATATACAAAGCAATGGCAGTAACTTCAGTACTTTTAATCAGCAAGCAACCAATTATAAAAAATACACAATTCACAATACAATCCTTACATAAGCTAGAAAAGATATTAAGGTTCATGTCAAGTTCAACATGCTCCACTTTTAATTTTAGTCATCAGCATTCTCATTAGCAGTAAATATGTGAGAAAGGATTACGAGCAGTCAGGAAGCCAGATATTGAAATTTTTATATAATTATTAAAAAAAAAAAAAAGTAGCCCAACAAAGAAAAGTAACAAAAAAGGAAGCACAATGGCCCTGACTTGGCTCGAGAGCTGTGGAAATGTACTATGCTGTCTTAAAAAGACAAAATTAATGTGCATTTAAAGGGTTCTGGTTTTGTATTTTCAATTAATACTAGTAAGACAAGAGCTTGTTGTGATGTTGCTTACTCCCACCTCAGTATTTATAAGGAAACAAAAACCTCAACCCAATATATGAAGGATTCTTTAGGCCCTACCTCAAAACAGCATAAGCCAACAATAAATATCTGTAGTGACAGAAAGACAAGACACATTCCAAGTACAGAGTCCTGTACATCTTGGGAGAAAGGTCAGGTAGCTTTCAGTAAATAAGAGCAACGTACACAGAAAAGAGCTTTAAGGTAGACAAATGAGGTTGAACCTGTAGATCCCTTCAGTTTGATTTTTCACCATTGTACATTGTACCTCAAACTACAATAATTTTAAAAATAACCATTAAATAGTCTTTAGGCTTAAGTCTTTTATGAAAGATGTGTTTCCTAACGTTTTTCTTCCTTTGTTAATATTAAAGATAGGATAATTAAGATTTTTAGCTTAGCAGCATACAGTCCTTACTGGAAAGGTTGGTCCAGAATTACCATTGGAAACAAGAAAAGATGAATTGTCAGCTAGCAGTGATCATGTAGAAATAGGAACAGTTAACACACAGTAAAACAAGAAACTAAATTAATACAAGCAGTAGTTGATACTTAGCATGAGAGTCGTTTATGCACAGTCTCGCATATGAGAATTCATTTATTGACAACTGATTTTTAGCAAGCACTTGCTCACCAAATAGCTTGAAGTTCCAGTCAGAAAAAGATTCCTAACTGGAATTCCAGCAATAAAGACATGCCTGCATGTTATTAAAGGAAACAGTGGAAAATTTCTCAGGCTGACATCCAGAATGTCCACAGTTCCGTTTCATATTTCTCTTCTTGCAACTTGCAAAGCAGATGCTAAACCAGACCCTAAAAGCTTTTTGGTTTGGGGTGGGGTTTTTTTTGGGTTTTTTGGCTTTTTTAGTTGTTTGTTTTTTGGGGGTTTTTTTCCTTTTCTTTTGTGAAGCCTGGAAATTTCCACTGCTTTTAAAGAGCTTTTTAAAAAGCTGTCTCAAATATACTGCTCAAACAACCTTCCACTTCTACCTAGCCAGACTTTAGTTTAAAGCAAAAGTTTCATTGCTATAAAGCAGACCTAAGATGAGGGGGAATAAAAAAAATTTGCTCATCTACCAAAAGCATTGCTTGGCCAATCTAAAATATTATTATACTGTGTATTAATCTTGATAGAGGTCACTTGAGGTTCAGCTACAGAGAGACAGATGGGTAAGAGAAAACAAAGCAGGTGATAAAGCTACCTTGTAGCTGTATATTTGAACACAAACTACAGTGGATGACAACGCAAGCTATTCTGTTCCTATTAAACGATCAAGTAATGGCTGTCCTTCAACTTAGTCGAATTTGTACTCAGCAATTTTCCATTGTTCCTGAATCCCACTCATCATCCATGTTACCTGCTTATTGTCTCTCACACAGCCAATACAAGTCTGCCAAGTTTGCTAGCACTAGTTCTATGCATCACCTCTACCAGACTTATTCATCAGCCTCGAACATACATCACCATAGATTAGGGGGTTGAATGGAAAACCTACAATTGTAATACAAAAATCTTTGAAAGCTACTTCAGCCAGGGAAGATGGGTTTTTTTCAGTTTTCTGTGCACTGATTAGACAAACTGCCTTCCTAATTTTAAGGAGGGGATCAAATGTACATCCTAGGTAAACAGGAGATGTTTGCTTTGTTCTATTTTAATCAAGTGAACAGTTTGCAGATAAAGTAGGCTTCCTTTTGTTGCCATTAGTGCCATCTTTGAATTTATAGCTAGATAAATACTTGAAATACTGATTATGAGGTGATTCTTTCAATTACTACCTAAGAATATTAAGCAATGTGCTGACTGATATTCTGGCCCATTGAGCCAGAAATCTCTACTCTGAACATCAAAAAGGCTACCATAGAAGATGAGACCAGGAGGGTACTATAACAAAAGATGCTGCTATGTCTGCTTTAGCTTGCAGCAGCAAAGATGGACTGAGCACAAAAAGAACTGCAAACCAAGTCATAATTCCCTATTTCCACCTACCCTCTCCAGCCTAGCCTTTATGGGGAAAGAGAAACTATTACAGGGAAAGATGCCTGAAAAGCCTATCCAAATCACTGGCAAAGAACATAGCAAATTTTTGTTTGAAATAATTTCCTTAAGATGTAAGCTGCCAAGAATAGAAAATCATTTTAAAGTTGTCATTATTAATACAAGAAATTAATTGTTGAACATTTACTAGTTCTTCCATAAGATTCAAAAAAACCAATGTAGCATTTCCACATACTGATTGCTTATGTGCATGCGGGCACACACACATGTATGCTCCTTCTAGACGTCTGTCTAAAAGGCTTTAGAAAAAGTTTATTCACATAGAATGCTACCCCCTCTGACACATGTAGCAGCAAAAAGCAAGTAGCACAGTTTACCTTTTCCTGTGCCTTACTAGCCTCCAGAGAACGTGAGGAAAAAACCCAGCAATGTTAAGATGCTCATACAGTCTATAGGGCAATTGGCAAAGCATTAGAACTACAAATTGAGTGCACAAAGCAAAACCAGAGGAATACTACCTTTGATTTAGATTTATTTAGTTCTTTGGACTCACACAAAATAAACAGAGAACCCCTGACTGACTGTTCTGAACAATCGTTTCCCCAAAATACTGGAGAGAACATGTATTTCACTGGGGTTTTTTGCAAGTAAATTGTTCAGTTCTCTCTTTTACTTAACCCTTCAATTAAAACAAAAGTCACCCAACCCAATCCCGGTTACATTACCTGTTCAATGACTTCGGGATGTTTCAGTGAGGCAGGGCATTCTGTTATTAGACATACAGCGCACAAAAGACTATATATCCTTCAAGAGATTGAAGGCAAGGTAATTTAGTTTCACTTTTCAAAAATCAGTTTAGTCATAACTGTAAATTTAAAAAGTCACCAATTAAGTATTATCAAAGTACAGGATCCATCTGAAATATACCTCCGATTTATATGATGCACAAAATAATTCGATGTACCTTCACTCAACTAAATGCAGCATACAAAAATCACAGTGAGTGGAAACACATTCCATAGCAGATTTAAATCAGTAGCAGTTAAATACTTTTACAATTGCCTCTTTCCTAACACACTACATCTAGAAACATCAACAGATTTACTCAGGGGCGAGAGGGGGAAAAACAAATGAAAAAACTACATAGGCAGGCTGCCCCAGCATTCAGGTCAGATATCCGTGGCATAAAGGATTCTATTCCTCTCCTCCCCCTCCCCTCCATTTTTTTTTAATTATTAAAACAAGCCAGAAGACTACTTGAGCTATTTCTAAATACTGAAAAAGCTTGAACATGAAATGCAGAAGATCCTGTACAGTACAGTCCTTTAAGATCACGTTTTCAAGAGAGACTAATTTAAATGCAGGAGTTGAAGCAGCCTGTAGTGTCAGGCTCTAGTGTCCAATACCTTTTCACACGCTACAAATGGTTTAATTTTGCAGGCAAATGTAATCAAGACACTTTTTCTTTCTCAGAGTTCTTGAAAAATAAAAACACACACACCCCTTTTCTAGGAAACTGTACCACAGGCATTAATAACGAAGGTTTGGTGATTGTGATTTCTTGTCCATTATTAATTTAAAAAACCCGTCATGAACAAAATATAGGGTTCCATTGTAAAATAGATTTGCTGCTTCTTCCTAATCTGCATTTTGTCTCAGCTATATGTTAGGGTATACATCAGTGATACAATGGAAAAAAAAAAAGGTAACTAAGCAATGCAAAACTTCCAACTTAATAAATCCAAAGCCAGGATGAACAAGGGCCTCAAAGGAACAGTTAAAAGAAACACAAAGCCACAGACGAGCCCAAAATGCATACAAGGCATATTCCAAATAAAATCAGACCAGCAATAACACACTGTAATCAGGAGAGGTACTTAAAGCAAGGCTGAATGCTGGGTTTATTTTGTCTATCACTTCTCATGTCCCACAGCCTCTATCTTCACATGTCAGCAGCGAATCCATCAAATCCACTGGTGTTAGTCAAAAAAACCAAACCGGTAGTAGTAACAGAGTTGAAGGAGCAACAGTCAGTTGAACAGCAGTTGTAACAGCAGTTAACAGTAAATGTAATTACTGCATGTTTTAATGCACAATCTTGTTTTAAAAACAAAAGTAACAAAACTTAAACAAAACGAAAAGCCCAACTCTCCCCCAAAAGCACCTAATTTTGCCTGATTCTTCTAAACCCAAGCTTTTATTCTCTGGTTTCACTCATACACTATTTGTTTCTATGAAGCTACATTTTATATTCAGAACATTTTATATTCAGTTATATTCAGAACATACAACTTTCTTTCATGTGAAGCAGAACATTTTAAGGTGGAAATATTCCATGAGAAAATATTTATTTTTACAATAGTGATGAAGCTTAAAAAAAATTGCTAAGCTTATTGTAAGAATCCATTTTAAATGTATTACAGACACCATATACTAGAAATTGCCGTGCCTCACACATTCAAATTTCCTTTTGTTTTGTCTTGTTACTTTAGTTAGACTCCAACATACTATTTTCTGTTGACCTCTGTCTAAAAGAGGAAGAAGATACTGAGGATTCAAATGAGTCTGAATATGAGCTGACAAATTGAGAAGCTTCGCTTTTAAAGGAAAACTTGACCTTAAGAGTAGGAGCAGAAACCACAAACAGAACCAACTGTAGAACCAAAGAGAATCGTGGGAATTATCGCAACCTCACGCTACATTCTAACTCATAATCACCCTATTTATATCCCAGAAACAGTAACACCTACAGCGGCATGCGACCCGAGCCGCGGCGGGGCGGGGGGGTGTTGGGGGTGGGAATCTCACCTCCAACCCTCAATAACAGTTTCATTACAGCTACGACTCAGAAATGGATAAGAGGCATGAAAATTAACCTTTCAGTTCGAATGTTTTTCATTCCTTTTCTTATTACCAGAGATAAGAAGGAGACAAGAGAAGTCAGCTCTTAAACTTACCGAGGCTACAGGATGACCAGGAGAAGGCGGATATCAAGATCTTTGGAACCGCCTCGGTACCAGATAATCCCAGAGGAATGGTAGAGAGGGCCATTCTAACCGAGGTGTTTCACCTCGCCTCAGACTGAGAAATCGTGGGTCAGACGATTCTAAAGCCAGGTTCGCAGCGACCTCAGGTCTCTTTGTATTCCACGAGGAACCTCCACCCAAAATCACCACACTTAGATATGCAGCACATGGCGACACGGGAAGCCTTCAGTCCACGCATCAATCCCCCGCCACTGCCCCAGGAATACCCCTTCAAAACTCACTCACCGGTAAAGGTACAATAGCTAGAAAGAGGTCAAGGCAGCCACACATGGCCCGGGGAATCCCCTCATCTCCAGACCTGGGAATACTCCTCACACACAACCCATCTACGCTCGCCTTCGTCCTCCCATCAGGGAGGCACGTTCATATTGAGTAGGGGGGCGAAAGACAGAAAAGAGCCAGCCCTCAAGGCCACCCCCCAAGCCTCTCCCTTCCCCGGCAAGGGGCAGCTCTCCCTCCGCCATCCCAGTCCCACTCCAGCACTAGAAGCAGGGAAACGCGAACAAGAACTCCCCTCTCTCCACTCGTTACTCACTCCCTCCCTCCCTCCGAACCCCACTCACCTGGGAAATCAGCCAAAGCTCAGCTACATCTCCATCTCCCCCACACTCAGCCCCGCACCGCCATTTTCCTCACTGTCAGGATTTAAATCGGGACCGACGCGGAGACACCAGGCGGCGTGAGGTATTGTGGGACCTGTAGTACCCAGACGGGAGCTCGTGGTACTTGTAGTCCGCGCCGGGATTACTGCCGGAGCCGCCAGGCTCAGCCTGGTGCCAGCGGGCCGGTGTCGCCTCTGCATCGCCGCGGTCTCTGCAGTAGGGCGGGCTCAAACGGGGAGGAGGAAGCGGTCCCAGGGGAAGCTGCCTGTTCCGTGCACCAACTGGCGCGTTCCCGCGGCACTTGCTCCGTGCTCGTAGAGGTCACAAAATGCCGTATCTGTGTCGTTAGGTTCCTTGGGATTAAAAAAAAAAAATCAACCCTTCGAATAACGATTGAAAGAAAAATATTTACTCCCTTGGAGCCTGAAATTTTCTACTGCTGCACCAGACATATAGTTTTTCTTCTTTTTTTATTCATAGTCTATAGGGGGCCTAGTTAGTGCTTCAGCTGGCACTATCTAATACTGAAATCGATTAACCACTGCAACGGTTACGCACATCCACAGTACCAGTTAAATTAGACAACCAAGAGTTAATTGGATCATGATTTAATTAGGTAAACAGGCAGTTTTCCAACAAAGCTATCAGTCACCATCAAGCCCACCCCTCACCCAAATCCCATCGCCGCCACTGCCTCACACCCCCTGCCCCTCTCCTCGCGCCGCCGCCCCGCCCGCGAACCGCGAGCGGCGCGACGCCCCCTGCCGTCGCACGCCAAGCCGCCCGCGTGTCCAAGCGCCGCGCGGTGCCCGCACACCGCCCTCCGCCCCGCCCCTGCGGGAAGAACAGAGCTGGCGGTGAAATAAAGCTTGTGGCTCAAGAGCTAAAAGAGCTGGGGCTGGGAAGGGGACCTCTAGGCCTGGAGCTGTCATCACTGCAGCATGGCTCCATCGGAGGATCGTGGTAAGGACAGCAGTGCTCACCTAACTTTGCATCTGAGGTCAGCTTCAGGATCGTGTTATATTGTGGGAGAGCAGAGCTTCACAGTAAACACCAGTATTTACTAACACACTCACTACCAGTGTTAATACTAACGATTCTTACCCAATTAGTAATACTAATAACACTTACTATGCATATTATTAATGCTAGTAGAGGCCGGTAGCGTTCTTAACACTGAGGCTTGCAGGAAGAACACAAAATTAATGTTGCTGATTATGCTATTGTGGTGTTGAAATACTTGGCCTCTACTGTGGTAGCCCCACACTTACCTCGATGGCCTCCCCCAGCAGGTCCCGCAGCACCTGGGTGCAGATCTGCTTAAGCTTCACTGATGCAATAAACAGAGTTCACTCTTTAAAATCTTTAGAAGTTTAATAAAGGATAAAAGAACAAAATAATCCAGCACTGGGGTGCTTTTGGCGCACACCCTAAGAGCATAGAGGTAGCTTAAAATCACGTTCACTATATACGGTTACATTGCTGGGGTTACATGCATATTCATTAGCTTATACATTTTTCAAACATTCCTCTGAGGTTTTGATGTTCCAGGAACTATCTTGTTTGGTTTTGAACTCTGACTTGTCTACAGAACATTCTGTAAATTAGGTCTACATATTTTATTTCTTCCTGTAGTTTTATCCTGGTGCTTCACACTCCCTGATAGCGCTGATAGAGTTGATAAATCTTACCTCAATGCCTTGCCAAGAGCTTTGGTGTTTGAGCTGCCAAACCCAAACTGGTCCTGATGATGGAGGACTTAAGAAATTACTCAATCCAACTAAATGCTTTAAAAGGCAGATGGTTTGGTTATAAAAATATTTCTGCCTGAGACTGGGAAGAGACTGGGAAGAGTTAAACCCCCCAATTCTGCACAACAGCACAGGGATTTTTTAATTCTTTGCCTTTTTTTCCCCCTTCCTTTGAATGGGTTTGTTTGTTTCCCCTTGGAGACTGCACACACAATAGGCAGATTTTTCAATTAAGCCATTTTTTCCCACTTTTAGTCTCCAATGGAGCCCAGGTGCCAGTTGTTTGCTGCTTGGTTTCTGCCTTCCCTTTCCTGCCTACAGCTTAACCCCTTTCTCTCCTTCCTGCTTTTTGGCCATCATTGGTCATGCAGATGATGCTGATGCAGATGGCTGAAAATATCAAACAGCTTGGGAATGGTCTGTATCAGGTGTCAGTAACATTAAAAAATGCAGTATATGGACCATCAACCAATGAATTTAGCAACAGTTGGATAGTAACCAATCACCTTTCCTTTGAAGCCCTCTTCATAGCATATTTACTTTTAAAGGGAAAGCATTTGGTTTATATTTTAAAAAATACTACAAATCACCAACAGCCAGCTTAAGTGAGCATGGAAGACTGACAAAGACATTGTAATGTTTTTTCTTTTAAATCCCTCACAACCCCATCATGTACTGGGGAGGCAGCTCAGCGAGTTTCAGCCTACAGCTGCCATCCTGTGCTCATGGAGAGCAACCTCTCCAGGTGTCCCAGCCTCAGGAAAGCACAGAAGAGGGCTTCACACAGATCAGGGATTAAGCTAGACCCAGGTTGAACTCAGCTCAGTCACCATGGCACCGTTAGTAGCCTTAAACCCTTTCTCTATCAGATTAATTGTGGTTGTGGTGCAGCCACTGTGTTGCTGTCAATGTGCTCCCCTGCAGCCTAGCCTGACATGGTGAACAGGGGTTTGGGGTTCTGCCTCATGTGTTAAACATCAAACCAGAAGATAAAACAACAGATAAAACCCCTGCCCTTCCATGTGCCTCACTCTGCACTACTGCTATGAGAGGAGGGTTAAAGTCCCAATCAGTTTTAGCTCTGTAAAGGAGCTACAGAGCAGTGATGAGTGCCTGAATCATATTCCCTGCAGCCATCAGGCGAGTGAGGGCAGGGAGAAGGGCAGTGAAAGGGAAATAAAAAAACAACAGAGCCACTAAGACTGGAGGATGTGAGGATGAATCCAAAACTATGCTCTCCAAGAGCTGAAAGAACACATTTCTTAAAACAAGACATCCAAACCGGAACGAGGGACTCGCACTCTTCCCAGATCTTCCCAGCACCATAACCCATTAAAAAAAAAAAAGCAATCTGTGAAAATGGGATGCTCCTTTAAGCCTTGCAGAGACTTTCTCCAGCACCACAAACCACCCTTCCTGTTGCTCTTCCTTTATCACTCAGGGCTGAGCCATGGAGACCTGCTTCTTTTGTGTATGCGTGTATCATACCTAGAGCAGCAGTGGTGGGGTGGGAGGGAAGAAATATAGCAGACAAATTTAACACCATTTAGGAGAGTTTATACACAATGTTTTCATTGCAAGCATTTAGAAGTGATAATATAGTGATTTATCACATCCCAGCACACTCCTTCTCTGTCAAAGTGATAGGCAGAACCAAACTCACCCCTGCTGCGTGTTGACGTCCATTCGCAGGAGGCACGTGGCACTGAAAGGGCAGCCAGAGTTCTTGGTGTTGGCAGCTGCGGGCTGTGCAAAATTGTTCTCTGCTGTTTTGGAGGCCGAATCGCAGTTTCAGCCATAGGCACACAGAGAGGAAAGGCTGTTAATATCCTTAGAAAGGAAAGTCTGGCACCCTATGGTTTAAGGGGAGACAAAGGGCTACGTAGGGGAAGGAGCTCCTCACAGGACCTTTCTTCACCTCAACCCCCAGTCCAAGGTCTAGCAGCCCCCCGTGTGACCAGCTGCTTTCAGAGGGTTGCCTGGGCACACCCACACAGGGAGCTGCTAGGCCAGAGGGGCTAACAGGGGTATCCCAAGCGTCCCTCCCGGAACTATGGTCGGAGCATCCAGCACAGACTAGGGAGCAGCCAGACCCACCCGGGCACAGAGCAGCACTTTGAGAAAACGCCAAGGGAAGAGCCCTTTTGCCAAGGGGCAGCATCTGAGCAGGCCAGGCAGCATGTGGGGTTCCAGGAGAGGGCTTGCAACTTTCCCCTTTTACTGTGTCAGTCCCTCTCCAAAGCCCCAGACCCTCCAGAGCACTCCCAGAAAGGAAAAGGGTTATTAGGAGAAAAAGGGTTTAGAAAAAAGGGAAAAAGCTTCCTTTTCCATTACTTTTTGTGTTCAAACTGGTAGGGACTCGGATTCCCCTGCAATTTTAATGGTCTCAGTTGAAAGAATCCCTGCCTTTTCTCTGCTGCTAGGGGTGTTAATTGACAGGGAGTCCCCATTCTCTATTATTTGGCAGTTTAAAAAGAAGGGGAAAATCTTGACAATGTTTCTTAGGGGTTTGAATTAAAGGTAGCCACCCCCTTTTTGTTGTCCTGAGGCCCAAATTGAGGGAGAAACCCAGCTATCCCTCCATCCTAAGGGTTTGAACTGAGGGAAAAATCCTTCTTTTTTCATCACTGGAGAGATTTAAAGTGTGGAAAGCCCCTCTTCTCTCAATATTTAAGGAGAGCAAACTAAACAGCAGAAACTATTTATTTGCCATTGTACTACCTTCAGTAGAGGTAACTGCCCCATTTCCTCTTTTTAAGGAGTTCACTGGAAGGAAGCTCTGCCTTTTTCAGTATTTTAAGGGTTTAAAACTACATTCTGGGGCACTTCTTTCTGTACTGTAGGACCAAATATCTCAGAGAAGGGTGAACCTGGCATGCACTTAACCCTTACCACTGCCTGGGAGGCTTTTATTTTTCTTATTTTTACTTATAATGTAGATAGCCAAAATTAGAGGTCCCAAAGAGACTTAGACTATTCATATCATTAGTATTCTTCTCCACCCAGCTTAGTCACATGGGAAGAACTACCCAGCAGCCACTAAGGAATAACTATATAACTTAACAGCAAATTACCCAACTTACCTAGTTATGCTGCCTAAACAGAAAGTTTTAGTTCTTACCGGTTTACTGCTCTTTTGCTCCAAGTAGTTGTTGCAAAAAAAGAAAGCGCTGTTATTTTTCTGAAAAGTTTTTTTCTATAACAAGCCCTTCACTCCCCTTGAATTCAAGTCAGAGGGGCCAAACATCTGCAGCTGCTCTGAGGGCTTTTATACCCGGTGGGAGTCGCCCCCTCCCTCTTCCCAGGTGCCGTGGGAACGAGAGGCGGGCACAATCAGGGGTATATTAACCCCAGCCTTGGCTGAGGGGCTTCATTCCCTCTCGGGGATGTGCTGGGGTAAGAGCTCTCCTCTCATGTCAGTGAAGA